TTATTATTATTATTATCATTTATATCACTGTGTTATTTATTATCATTTATTATATTTTGTTGTTACACACATTGACTGTAGTATTATCTGGTGGGAAAACTAACCCTAACTATAAACCTYGCTGAAGGCCCTTTTGTAAAACATTATCAATGCAGGTTCATTGAAGCAACTGAATATTTATTCTACTGGTTATTGAATTCAAAAATACTTGATAATATTTAACTTGTCTACTAACATATTATTTCATCCAACAACAGAAGATTTGTCTGAGAGACCCATCCAATTTCCCTCAAATGCTGGCTTCATGTAATTGTTACCATACCAGTTTCGAAGTTCGTAATCAATCTCTTTTAATGTAATGTAAGAATCACCATTAATTTCAATAATGGCTGATCCATTCCACCATATTTCTGGAGCAGAATAGAAGTCCATATAGCCCCTAGTTCTCCAGCTGCTAGGAATGACTGGTAGAAGGTCTTGAACTAAGTCTCTTATTGCTGGACTGAAAAATCTATCTCCATGAAGGTCATTATCTCCATCAAAAAAAGCTGTAGTTTCAATGTTAATGTGAGCTGGTATTAGAGGTATTACTCTTGGCATACCCATCATAGATTCCCCTATGTAATATCTGTCTCTCAGATGCTTTTGAATTATGCTAAAAAAAGTTTTGTTGTGAGTGTTTTTTCTTTCAAGAGATATGTCCACGTCATGGGTCCATGGAATGATGGCCTTGCTTCTAATAGCACCCAGAAGAGTGCCATACACCACCCTATGTTTTATACCCAACTTCACAAAAACATCTGTGACATCTTTTAACATTTTCCCCAAAACAACACTGCAACAAAGAGGTTGACCCACCTGTGGCAGGGTACTGGGTGGGACATAAGGCTTCTCTTTGCATACCCTCCCACTTGCAGCACATTTTGTCCATTCGATTTTATCTTCCTTGATTATTCGTAGAATACCATGTCTTCTGCCAAAACTTGAATATTCAGGGAAATCTTTAGCCTCTTGCAATGAAGCTCTGTCAGTGCTAAACAAATAATCACTCAGAATGCAATTCCCAAATTTACCAATTTTGAGTCTTCCTTTTGACCTCAGAAAAAAATCCAAAAGTGTCAGTCGACCAAAACTGGGATTTAAACCCCCTATTTCGAAGAATTTATCCTTTCTTAAAACGACTGGTCCATTGATGATATTACACAGTTGGAAGATACCACGAAAGATGTCGGATGAAATTTAATGATTTAATTGACCCCCTGTTCCTTATCTGAATACTCCAATTCCTTCTAGCGAAATTACACCAAGATGAATTTAAAAATATTTTCGACCATGGAAGGCCGAGTAACTCTCTCGAAAACATATCGTAAGTCTCCACCATATCTGACAAGACCGCCTTAGATACACAAGTAGCGCCGTCCAAATCCTCAAGAGAGGTCAGGATTTCTGCCAGAAACATCATACTACGTTGATCTTTTTTCTCCAAGATGTTTAACCCCAATGAAGAATTCTTTGTTCTGTGGGGGATTATTACGATGTACTTGGCTTTTGTATCATGCGGAAGATTTGAAACTGAGTCAATAATTCTGAAATCGGAGACCTTGGTGTTATTAGAAGGACGTTTACATGTAATTACTACAAAATTCTGGGTTTTCGTTTTTTCATTGTTTGCAGTGGTTAGAGCAGCCAGCTGATTGGAAGAAAGGTTTTTAGTGAAAAACCGTGGTATTGGGATTTGATCTTTCTTTTCCTCGTGAAGCCACAGCAGTACTAGAAGCTGGAACATCAACAGCCATGAAAACGTTAACCCAACGACTTTCGCTAGTGTACGTTTGTTTTGAATACAACGAAGGCACATATGTGTTAACTTTTGATATACCATGATATGTTATTGTCCTTGATATATCCTGTGATATTAAAGATGTAATATAACCAGAAGTATTAAGCGAAAAAAGACTACTAAACTGAACCAACCACGATCAACCACGCTCGACCATCCGTGCAACGCAGAATCGTCTTGTACTACTATCTTTGCACAGGCATATGTATTTGTGGGTTCCGATGGGATCCCTGTGGTACTCTAGAAACGCGAATATAATCGAATGATTTTGAATATTTTCCCGTAACTCATATGTCCTAAAATAAAGGAAACAATAAAGGACCATTGCTTTGTGATGTGTTCTAATTAACTTTCCCGCTTAGTATTATCATTGACATTAGTGAATTTTAGATCGACGTTTTGTCTTCCCGCAAACTGCAAACACTACTCATGACAAGTTGTCATCGTTTCTCTGCACTTTTAATACTTTATTTTTTGTAAACCTGCTTTTTACCAAAGACAATTATATATTTTTTAATCTTCAAATTGGAGAATATTTTACCATTCAACCGTGCTTCACGTTCGGCTGTAAACGAGATCTCAGAACCCTCTAATTTTAAGGCAAGACTTTCTACATGTAAATGTAAAAATACAAATCAAGCACTTTTTTTGTTTTAGACTAGAGTGCACGCAATAAAACCGTGAACATTAAATAGTACTAATTAGTAGTATTTCATACAGAATCCTTTGTTTTCTATTGCTTAATTATCACTATTTAGTGCTAAAAATTAGTATTTGTTTCACGGATTAAATGTAAGCACTCTATTAAACAGGTATCTTTTAGGCCGATGTTTAAGTTTTTTTCTCATTAGCATAAAAACAATTCAAGCTACAAGCAAACCGACTCCAGAAATCGAAAGAGAATGTCTTATTTAGTAGCTACTGAAAATGTGAGAGTAATATGTTCAATATTTTGGGAGTAAATTTTTTTGAAAGCGGTATGATTTACGAGGAAATGTTTGGTTGTGTGGTAAGTCAGAGCCCCACCCGGGCGCGCGCAAAAGGGCTTATTTTAATTAGTTTTGAACAAAAAAATAAAAAAGCACATAGAGAAAATGCGCTAAAAATAATAAATTTTATTCACCAAATTGCTTTGATGTCTAAAACCCTTTGTGTGGTCTACCTGTGGATCAAGTTTGAAAACAAATATGGCGGATTTTCATTTACCATAATAGTCAGTGAATTCAAACTCTTTTAGATAAAAAAATACATACGAATCTTCAGAAAGAAGGCATTCAAAAAGTATGCTCATTCTTAAAAGGAATGATAAGGAAGATTCCAATCCCTCATTTCAGCCAGAAAGAATTGAACTTACAAAATCAACGACAAGAATCGGCCGAAGTGCTGAACACGCAGACATCGTCATGGACAGTAAAATATCRCCTCGTATGATCAGTAGACTACATGCACAGATTACTCGAATGGATGACCAGTACTTCATATCCTGTACTGGTATGAATGGTATGCTGATCAATTCGGTTAAACGAAAGAAATCATTGCTAAAAGATGGCGATGTTGTTGTGTTCGGAGGTGCTGGGGTACAGACGTCTGAGGGCAGTGTAATTTCAAAGCTACAGTCCGAGCTGGTTTATGTCTTTCGGTCTCAAAGAAACACTATTGAAGAGAAGAAAGATGACGAGAAAATACAAAATAAAGAACTAAGGGAGAATGCTTTTTCTACAGATGAACTCCCAGTTGTTGATGCTTACAGAAATAGAAAAAAATCTTGTAAGACAAGGAAGGGCTCAGACAAACAAGAACAAGGCAATGAAAAAAGAGATCCTAAAGAACATAGAAAAAAATCTACATTTATATCAGATGTGGCTGATGAGTCCTCACCCGGTGAAGGAACGAGTGATGGCAGTGTTTTGAAAAGAAAGAAAAAAAGTTTTCCAATACATTATTATTTCAATGATGTTGACAAGAATGATGATGATTGTAATAAAAGTGGTTTCACTAAAATGCCTTCACAAAAGAAGAGGAACTCAAGTCAGAGTCCAAATGAATCATCATTAAGTGATGACGCAAAGGATGTGATGGCGGTGAAGAGAAAAAAGAAAAGATCTGCACTGCCTTTTGATTCTGATGATGACAGGTATAAAAATGTGCTTTTAAAATATGATAAAATCATTACCAGCACATAATTTTTGTGTCAGGTTCATTTGCATTCCCCCATAATATCTTAAAAAGAAATTCTGGGGGAAAAATCACACTGCAACTGTATAGATTTGTTAGATGTGACCATGCATGTCTCTTGCAAATTGTCTTGCAAAAAATTGTTTCAGGTTGTACAAGGCTATTTTGCGCATGAATAGTCCCTTTGCCAAAATGTTGGTCGAAAATTGAAATGAGTTACATTAAAAAAACAATACAAGCACTAGAAAGAGCATCTTTTTCTCTTTCCAGTGCTGGTATTGGTTTTTCTCTGTTTAATTTTAACTCAACCGAATTTGCAGCYGCCGTTCAAGGGGTCTATTTTGTTGACAATTTTTTAAAGACAAATTGTGCAAAAAATCATTGCACACTATAGTAGTGCCTTAAAATATTATCTGTTCAATTCAAACAGCATTAATTCGCCAGTCAAGAAATTACACAAGACTGATTCATCAACTAGTGAGGTAAGTAAGCTTCCATATCATGCAATATAATAAATAAATACCAAATCTAAATGAGTGGTGTGCACTGCTATTAAAGGTGAGTGTCAACTCTCACGGTTGTTGTCATGGGTTCAATCTCCATACTCACCATCATCCTTAGGCTCGGTTTCAGCCGTGCCCACCCAAATCACCACGCCTGGAAATTGAGCCTATGAAGTCTATATGCTTCTAGTGTTTTTCTTCAAGTTTTCTTCCCTCTGCAAAAATCAACTTGTAGATTCCAATTTAATATTATGACCCAATGAGGGTTGAAGGTTTGTTAGCAACTGGTTACCAAGTGTTGCCTTCATACAACAAAGACAATTTTATTTATTTATTACTAGTAATCAAGGCTGTCATTAAGCAGGCAGTCGCTGGCTGCAAAAGCTCTGGTGATTGCTTCAAATTTAACTGCTGGCAACTTTTTTCTTTTCTATGAAATACCGAATTTTCCTCGTATTGGATCACAGCAAGCAGCTTCAGACCTATGACTACCTACTCTAAAACATTCTGAAAGCTCTGACTAATTATAGGTGTAGAGGAACTTAGTCTGAATTTTTGAAATTGTAGATTGAAAAGGAAAACACCAAAGAAAAGTTAAAGCCAGGTAATTATGATAAAGGTCTAAAGCTATTGGATTGTCATAATCTTATGCTGAACTACTCCAAAATGTCTTTTAATTTATAGAATTCAATGACAAAGAGTTCCTTGATGACCTTAATGAGGAATTGCTGTGCTGTATTTGCCGAGAGCTGCTTGTCCTTACACATGCTCTTCCTTGTTCTCATACCTTCTGTTATGAATGCATTAGAGACTGGTTACGGTAGGACAACATGTCATACTCACTAATCTTTTGTACGGTGCATGTTTTGACCTACATTCAAAATACCCCTCAATAAACTTAAGGAAGCTGTGTTTTTGTGCTTTCACATACACTCACAATTATGAACTAAAATATAATAATATAGCTATAATATGACAGCAAGTAAACCCGGAAAGCCAAAGACCATAAACCAAAGATCACAATGAGCATGAAAAAATGATGTAAGATGTTGCTATGACAACATCAGAACCCTTGCTATGCCATCAAAAATGTTTATTTAAAAAATCATAGCTCGGGAACCAAATGGTGAATTTTTTTAAAAACAGAATATTTAAACTTTGTTACATAATCTTTTTGACAAAGGAATTAAAATTCTGTTAGAGGGGATCGTAACAATCAGAAAATTTTTTTTTGGAATAGTTCTGTCTTACAGAATTTTTTAAATTTTTCCTTAAGTTTTTGAGAACATAAAGCAAAGCCATATGCAAAATTTGAAGAAATTTTACCATTAAATGCATACTGCTGTTTTTGAAGACCAGGGACTCATTTGCACGGCCTTAACCTGATTTATACAGTAAGTCAGCTACTCATAGATACTGTTAAAAACTGGGTCTGTGGGATTTGAAAACATTGGTAATGTTCAAGCTACACATTCTTTACATTTACAGCTGATGTTTTGGATGATTTGCTCTTAAGCAAGGCTGAGCTTGTTTAGATGAGTCTTTAGTCATTAAATACAATCATGTCAAATGAGAAAAGGGATTATTAGAATATCCATGTCATTTTCGACAGACAGGGACAAGATTGCCCAAGCTGTAGAGCCAAAGCATCATTTGATCATCTGGTTCCTGTCAAGGTATGTTTCTAAGGCTTGTCTAAAATGGGTACTAAAGGATGTCTAGAGTGTTGACAGGCTGTTTGTATGGGTTGGTGTTAGGTTGTCAGTAGGTTGGTGGTAGGGTGTCAGTAGGTTGGTGGTAGGGTGTCAGTAGGTTGGTGGTAGGGTGTCAGTAGGTTGNTGTCAGTAGGTTGGTGGTAGGGTGTCAGTAGGTTGGTGGTAGGGTGTCAGTAGGTTGGTGGTAGGGTGTCAGTAGGTTGATGGTAGGGTGTAGTATAATGGTAGAGTATATTTTGGAGGTTGTTTGAATGATAATGAATATTATTGTCTCAATGTTTAATTAATTTGATGTTTTACACAATTTTGATTGTTAATTAGGTACTGGATAATACTGTCGATAAAGTCGCTTCAAGAGTACTGAGCCCTGAACAGCTTAATGAACGGAAAACAAGAATCCAAGTAACTAAATAAAAACATTATTCTACATACTGAAACATGTCTTATTTTATAAAAGCATAGTTAATAGAGGGGAATGGTTAGGAAACCTATTGTTATCAGGTCTTTGTTTGCTTGTGAGGTTGAACCGGTCTTGACCGTGCAATAAGTTTGATCTGTTTGCATTCTGAAAATTATTTTTTCTTGTATAGGAATTACAAGACAAAATCAATGGAAGAATGGTAAGAATATGTACTTATTGACTGAGTGGGAGGGCCATCTTGCTGCGCTCAGTCCGTACAGCATCACCTCAAGCCAAATATTTTCCCATACGGCCCGACCTAACTCAGTCAATAAGCATTTTATCATATGACCCTCACGAAAAGAAAAATAATACAGTCACAGGTTTCGAGCAGGGCTGTATGGATTCGTACGGCCTTGCTCGCTCAAAACCTTAAAGGCCTGCTCATGCCATTTTCCCAAAGGTTTCTCTAAGAGCGCGTGCCCGGGCAGATATGGGTCATATGATAATTATTCATATGTATACATGAATCATTGGACCAGTAAGGCAACTGGCAATTGCTTATCTTAAAAGTTTTAAGAACATGTAAGTTAAACTAGTCAAAGAGTTAAGAGATAATGGTTATTTTTGCTTTTCTAGGATGCAGACTCGGAATTGAAAGCAGAATATGGACATGTGCACAGTCAAAAAGAGCATTGTGAAAAGTGCAACTTGCCCATCTCAAATAGGTATGATGTAACATTCAATTAAAGGCTGATTTACATGGTACAATTGACTTTCCTCAAGACTGTCGTGCACAACATCCTTACTCCACGTTTTATTTGCCATTTATTTATTTATTTGTTTTTTATTTATTTAACAACAATATTTATACAGAGGTGCCCAATTCAACGAAGCTGGTTTGAATAGGGCCTGTGTGAGATGTATGGTTGATTAAATGAAGCAATTCTAGTTATCAGCATATTGCACATGACAGTTATGATGAAAAATTGTAGCATGTAAATCGGCTTTAACAGAGGTATCACTGTACTCATTTATCAAGTTTTTATTTCACTATTAGGTTACTGCGCTGGGTGCTCATATTCCCCCAAACGTCATCCACAGCCTATTATCATTTCAAATGTTTCAAGCCACCTCAAAGCCTTACGATAAGTCAAGTAAGTACAAACACAAACTCAATACCTCTAGTGTAACAGCGCAACATGCAAGAGTATGACCACATTTAATGTATTTGAATTCTTCTATGAACATTTGTGCTGCCAAACGAGCTTTTACATGCCTTGTTTGGCAAGACCAGCCAGCTTCACATTGAAATGTGTCAGTTTGATATACAGAAGCCTGTGCATATGAGATGAAAATACATCAAACATGGTCATTCTTTTGCACGTTGTGCTGCAACTGTCAGGAAATATAAAATGAAGGGAAGGACGAGAGAGGAATGGAAGGAAATGAAAAAAGAGATAGAAGAAAGGTGTTAATCTGAATTATGTTTTTTGGTACAAATATGAAACATTGGCACAAATGAAACAAGGGTCCAAAATATGCTATATTTTAGAAATATTAGATAATTCTGTTGGGGTACTTGAGAGACTGCTTCGTAATGAATGGTGTAATTCATGTTGTAGCACATTTAAATCATGAGGAGGGACTAGACCACATTTGTATGCACCCAAACACTGGCAAATCATTAAGTAAACTTCAAAAACTCATGAATAATTAATGATCATTTAGACCTATCAGGTCCTTTAAATCCATCATGTGCATGGATCTTTACACCTGATAATAGTTCAACATGGATATGTTTATATAAAGATTTTGAAATCTTTATAAAGGACCAAAAGAGTAAGAGAGCATTGCAAGAGCATTATAAGGACCCTAAATGCTTTATATTAATTATTCATGATTTTTTGAAGTCATTCAATAAACTTACAGATTGTGTCTTATCAGGTCTAAAACCACGAGGCGTAGCCCTAAACCTGATAAAACACTCCTGCTCATTTATTAAACTATACTTAAATATCCTTGTTGAGAATCGTATGTTTTTTTCCCATTCCAGATCAAAATTGCTAATGGTTTGTCCAAAACAGATATGAAAAAAATTAGAACCCTTATCAAATCATGACCAGGTCATTGACTATTTACATTAATATAATATTTGATATGAATTGTTTTCTTGAATTTTGTTTTTGGCCTCTAATATTGTCATAAACAAAATAGCTGTTTAATATAGTCTCTTTTGGAGGTGTAAATTTTTCCAATTTTGAATCACATGTCATTCCCTTGAGTATCATCATTCTTCATTTTGAAGGTGGACTAGATAGCATGAAAATCATCTAAATTTTAATTAAGCTGAAACTTTACTGGAAATATAACCCTTAAAGTTCTGATAATCACTGGCGAAAATTGCTCAAACTTGGATTCAGCTGAAACTTGAAGAATACTCTTTAAAGATCCAATAATCACTGCATGGAGTGTTTTCTTGATATTCAGGACGAAAGTATGATATTTTTACGATTATTTTTTGGAGTCTGTGACATCATACACTCAACATGTTGATTGTATGACGACCCTTAAAGATTATTCCATTGAAGTTTCAGTCAAATTAAGTTTCTCTGAAGATTTTCGTGCTAGTCCCCTTTAACCATTTCAAATGAAAAGAAATATGAATATGGATTCATTTCAAACAAAGAATTTTATTCTCAAGAGAATGAGATGGGGTCAGAGATGCGGTCCTTCTGCATTTACTGCAAACGTATTGTATTCTTTCTTAGCTTCGAGTTTCTATTTTATAACTTGGGGTCAAGTACCCAAAGAAGGAGCCCAGAAATGGAAAAACTCACGCCTAAGCTAAAAGCATCTATTGCTTAATTGTAGTCTATAAAAAGTCATTTTTATGTAAATAACAGTTGTAATAACTATGAAATTAATTGCAGTCCATATGAGTGTATGTACTTTACTGTGCATGAACTAGATTTTATAATGTATATATTGTATAAGGCAATGGGTATATTAATAAATGAGGGAAAGGAAATTTTGTGATGTGCAATCAGACATATTCATATCATGANATTAATAAATGAGGGAAAGGAAATTTTGTGATGTGCAATCAGACATATTCATATCATGAACCAGTTTTTATAATGTATATATTGTATAAGGCAATTGGTATATTAATAAATGAGGGAATGGAAATTTTGTGATGTGCAATCAGACATATTCATATCCATTTTTTAACCCCTTTTTAACCCGAAATTACAATACCCTGGAAGTTTATTTTGCAGAACTCAAAAATATCATAAGAGACAGTCGTTGAAGAGACAATTTTGATATGAGATGTATTCCACACTACAGTTCAAAATATTTACATTAACACACCACGTACCTATATATAATTGGAATAAAGCATTGTTAGTCATTGTATGATACATTAGTTTACTGGTTTGGTCTTATCTGGAGACTGATTTTCTGCTGGTTGTCAAGGCATTCTCTCAACTTATCTTCTGTCATAGAAAGTCTTTGCTCAAGGATAGACACAGTCTGTGAAAATGGTAATAAAATGAGAATAATTTGTATATGGATGGATGGATGAAGGCTCCACTAAAATTTCTTAGGGAAAAATGGATTAAATTGGGAAATCATATGAGTTGACGAATGCATGAATAAGAGAATGGGATGACTGCTAAATTGTTTGGAAAAGAGTTGGAATAAAATAGGAAATTATATGAATGGATGGGTGGGGATGAATACCCCAAAATATTTACAAACAAGCGGGAATGAAATGAGAGGTCAATATTTATATGAACAAATGGATAAACAAATAAATGGAATCAAATGTGTTAACAATAATACTGTGTTCAAGGTAAAGACAGCTCACAACAAATGGGAATCATATAAATGAATTAATGAATGAATATATGGATCGAATGAATAAACGAATGAATGGATGAATGTATGGATAGATGGATAAATGGTTATATGGATGAAGGCACGAATAAATGAATGAATGGATGAATGGATGGATGTATGGATGGATAGATGGATGGATGGATGGATGGATGGATAGATGGATGGATGGATGGATGGATGGATGAATGGATGGATGAATGGATGGATGTATGGATGGATGAATAAATGAATGGATGGATGAATGGATGAATGGATACATGAATGGATGGATGAATGGATGAATGGATACATGAATGGATGGATGGATATATGAATGGATAATGAATGGATATACAGTATGTTTGGATGAATGAACAGGTAGTTTTGCAAATCTCTTCAAAGCTAGTAACATTCAAGGACCAAATGCAAATAAAATGGGAAACCAAACCAAATAGATGTACTGTTACTAACCTGTGTTAAAACGTCAAGTTGTCCCACAATATGTTCCAGGGTGTTTGCTAACTGGGGAGGAATATCCCTTCTCTCCAGGGGGGTTGTCATAGGAGGATCATTTACTACCCCACCAAGTCCTACTGGGGGTTGACCATTGTGACTTGTAAACTCATCTAACTTGCTTTGTTGCTGAATATTGAAAAAAACGAAAAGTTTTAGGACAGTTTGATTTCAAGAAGTGATGATCCCTGTCAAAAGTATTGTCCAGCATGAGGCAATTTTGCCAAAAATTGCCTGGCTGTCATGGCAGCCCATGATATTTTTGACAGCCATCATGGCATCTTGGAATCAAACTATTGATTGATTTGCTTGGTAAATATATGGGCGGGTGGGGTGGGGCAGATTGGGGTGCACAGGGTGGGGAGGGGCAGGGTTGAGATACAATGACATGACAATAATGAATTTCGTACCTGCATGGCTCGCAAAATAACAAAGACAGAAAAATAAAAATATAGAAATAGAGGAAATATATGACTACTGCAATCATAGTAGAGAGATAGGGAGAGGGCACCAAAGATATTAGAGGTTAACATAGTATCACAAACACTTACTCTTGGTATGGAAAACATAGCAGGGCCTACTTCTACTACTTCTGGGTCTTGGGCGCCCATATCCTTTGGCTCAGCAGCTGCACTGATCTTTGAAATAGAAATATAAAGTGTAAGTGACAAGATATCTGACTCAAGGAAAATTAAAAGAACTACACAATAAAACGAAGGCCAGAAGACAATACTAGGAAAAAAGTCACATTGGAAATGCCACAAATGTTAACTGAAAAGAGAATGAAGAATGAAACCGAAAATAAAATAAATGATGGGAGAACTAAATTAATATGATAAAAAATAAAATAAAATAAATGATGGCACATGATAAATGATTTATTGTATTTGGCAGGTATAAYGATGTGAGCAGCCGCTATCAGTGTCGTCACGCAACACTTACTCCCCTAAGTAGCTTCACCAGTGAGATGCTAGCCATAATGAACTAGGCACATATTCCATTTAGCTACTTAGGAGAGTGAGCGTTGCATGACGACACTAATAGCAGCTGTGTATGAGACTAATTAGCTGCATGATAAAAATATTCGGTATTGTTGACTGAATATTTAAGTACATCATGAGAATCACATTCATTTACATATCTAAAAGTAAAATCACTGGTTGTTGGGAAAGTACCCAACAATATCAGTATCAATAAAATACGATATGAAGTCATAGCATAATGCCAGCTAAATAACGGTCATCACCAAAACATAAGACCCTATTTGGTACAAATATTTTATACTGCTAGTACGTAACATGTTAATAAGTGCAATAATATGCTACTACTAATAATAATATCAATAAAAAAAAAATTATATAAATAATATATCATATTCTTACCTGTGGTACAGTATGCCGAGGGGGTGTTCTAGGTGGGGGAGGGTCATGTGTATGGCACGGAGATCCTGGTGCTGCCCTCTTCCTATGGGCCTTTAATACTGCGAACAAATGTAAATACATAATATAATTATATTAATTATCTCAGGGAAGAGGCCATCCACTCTTCTTCCATCCATCCATTATTTCATCCATCTACCCATCCATCTGTAGACACATATATCCAACCCTCCACCAAGCCACCTACTCAACCATTCATTCCTCCAAGCCATGCATTTATTTACCTATCATCCATTCCACCTATCCATCCATCCATTGATCAAACATATGCATTCATTCACCTATCATGTCATATATCCATTGCCCCATTCATTCAACTATCATCCATCTCAGCTATCCATCCATCCAGTCATGGAACCACTCAATTAGTATCATCCATTCCGCCAAGCCATCCATTCCGCCAAGCCATCCATCCCTCCCTCCCTCCATCCCTCCCTCCATGCATCCATCCCTCCCTCCATGCATCCATCCCTCCCTCCCTCTATCCATCCCTCCCTCCTCCTAGATAGGTTTATTGGTTGTCAAGCTATCCATATCTTACCTTCTTGATAATCAATCTTGTCAAAGTTAGTTTTCCATACCATGACCTGAAGAGAGAGAAAGACATGATATCATTACTACTGTACTAGACTACTGTAGAGCAGATACCACAGGAAGCCCAATCAAGACAAGAAAATGAATTACCTGTTCATCAGAGCTACCAGATGCAAAGTATTCTCCATTCCTAGAAAACACCACACTCGTAGCAGGACCCTGTTCACAAATCACACATGTGAGGCTGTTAATGACTTCTTTAAGAAAAAGGTTGTAAATGCATGCTACACACAGAATTGTATTAATATGTTGTGGTTAACATGGATTGGCTTTCTTACGAATGCTCTGCTAAGTTTGCCTACGAGATAGTGGTGGTGATGGTGGTGGTGGTGGTTATGGTGGTGGTATAGTAATGGTGATGATAGTGCTTGAGATGTAGTGGTAATGAAGGTGGTTGTGTGGTCAGGGTTCCCAGCCATTTTGAAAATAAAATATCCCTGACTTTTCCCTGACTTTTCCATGACTAAATAACAGTGTTCACTGACCTTGTTGAGCATCTTGAATATCAAGAATTTTCAATATGGCCGCATGGGCAAGCATGGGCGAGCATGGGCCACATGCCTAACTTTTACCTAGGCCCCTGTGTATCATATTGCACAGGATACCCTACATAATTAAAATGTCTGCCATAAATGATACTAAATACTTCAATATTTTTTTCATTATTTGAAAAGATTTATCAGTCTATTCGAAAATTGTAAACAGTAAGAGCATCACACAGATACTTATGGTTAACTTTAAACAAAATTCCCTGACTTTTCCCTGACTGTGTTTTTCCCTGACTTTTTCCTGACCCCTGGGAACCCTGGTGGTGGTTTAAGTGGTGTGAGGATTGGAGTTAGTGGAGAAGATGGTGCTGGTGTTGATTATATAATTGTAATGATGGGGGAAAAAATGAACATGATGCTTCAGATTGTATTTGTGGTGATATATTGTTATGAAAAATATGTTCATATATTTTACAATATCTACCTGGTGTCCATGTAGCGTGTAAAACAATCTTCCCTCCATCAGGTCAAGCACCTATAAAAATAGGCAATAAGCAGTATATACTGTAAATATTTTTTCACATAATGCATCATTAAAACATGTTTGCCTTGAACATTTTCTAGATTTGTAAGCTTTGTTATTTTTGAATCCAAAACAGAAATATGAAAAGCAAAACAACCACAGAAAATCCTGTTTCTGCTTTGATTATCTTCTTTTGGTACTGCAATCTTCATATTCTGCCTTCCAACTCCTATTAGTTGAATATGTATAATGCCTTTCAACACACAACCCGAGTTTGAGTCCTGCCAGGCTTGGTGTAGTATGTGAATAGAGTTACTCATCCATTTGGTTCTCTTCTGTGCTTTGAGGTTTTTCTCCTTGATCTCCAGTTAAATTCCTCCCTGATCTTAGCATATATTCTCAATAGGGTTAACCTCTTATATTTCCTTTCGCACTATGTCAGAATGAATTGGTCATTTTATTAAATAATAAAAATTAAAGTAGCCTACTTTTAATGTTGTATCATTGGAAGCAGAAACTAAATAATTCCCAGAAGGATGGAATGACATGGAATTCACTGCACCGGTATGAGCTGCAGAAAACACAACACAGAAAAAATAAAATGGGTGATTAATTTTACAAAATAAACGTAAACTAATAAATGACACTCATTAGACACTCTAATTTACACTAGAGTTGTTTTAATGATTATGTTATGCCGTCAAAATGGGTCAAGCTTACCCCCTAAATTCCATTTATGGTTTTATTATTTGGATATTGAAACTTATTATTCTTTCTGGGAATACCAAGACTCGGGATTCAAGATAATAAATTCTGATTGGATTAGTATGGATAGTCCAATCGGAATTCGAGTTTTGAAACCATTAATGGCATCTAGGGGGTAAGCTTGAACTTTTCTGACTGTAAAGCATGAGTGGCATAGCAGTGAGAGCACTAGACTCTCAGCAATGCGACCTGGGTTTGATTTCCAGACTCCATCTGTAAAAATCAACTTTTAGACTCCAATGTGTAGTTCCAGAAATCATCCATACCCACCCCACAGAGGAATTTGGAATTTCCGAAGAGTAGRGGGTCAGAGAAAACAAAAATGACAGAGCTTGTATGGAAGAAAATTGGAATTTCTGGAGGGTAGGGAGGTATGGATAATTTTTGGAACTACACAATCTATAGAAAAGTGCTATAGGAATGCCACAGCTGAATCCCATTTATTTCATATTCTTTTCACTTTTATCATACATGAGATCATTACCTTGGTAATGTTGTAATAATTTGTTCATTCTAATATCCCAGACCTGTGGAGTAGGACATAATTCAGTTAAAAACTTTGAAGTACGTAGATACCGGTTCTTAAACATATGAATTTTTTTGTGTGGCCACAAACAAGTTGCAGATTCTGTTTCATTTTCGTCTATTTTTTATCCCAATTGTCTAGAATATTAGTTCTTTGTTTCATGGTTGCACATGAGAAGACACAAGTATATATACAACTCATATATACAATCTTATTTTCAAGAGAATGACATTATCTGATATGGGAAAAGATTACCGAGCTAAAAATGGCTTATTATGTAACGGGGGGGTTAAGGGGTATTAATGTAAAATTGTGATCTCGTGTAATTGAAATTATCTATGATCTAATCTAATATAACTAATCTCAGTTAATTGGATTATTTTATATTTTTATTGGCAGTAATCCAATGTAAACATGTTTATAAGGAGCCAATAAAATATTTTTAAAATTGTCGTTGTCATGTAAGTAAGTGCCAATAGCAGAGTATTTGGCTGTACTGAATGTACGTTATAAACATACTTTAACAGTATTGTCAGTGCCRCCTGCTGCAATACATGTCCCACTTGGATGAAAAGCTACTGAATTGACAAAGCTGATAACAAGAACAAAAAATAGAGTTAAGTGCTGTAATAAACCCCATAGAATACTGCCAAAGATGTTGGAATGTCCTGTTGGCAGGGATGATCTTACAGACTGATCACTTTAACCTTTGCTCTATTCATGCATTCAATGATTTTGACTAAATAAATCTAGTATATACTGCTACTTTAAATCATGAACTTACCCTCCAGGGTCATAAAAAGTGTGAACACAATCTTTACTAGTTCTGTCCCACAGTTTGATCGTCTTGTCATCACTACCAGAAACTATCAGCCGTCCATCTGGAGAAAACCTGATTGGATTTCAATATTGATTCCATATTAATTGCTAGACATAAGTCAATAATAATAATAGTTACACTGCTTCTTAATAGCACATGCTGAATCATCATCAAGTATGCCAATCAAGCTGTTCCCATCACTTTCCATAAATTAGGCTTGCCTTTTCTGATAATGGCATGAATGCCCTTTGATTGACGATTACCAAAACCCTATTTTGTCGGTATGACTGCAAATAGCACAATTCTGCAAGTGCTAATGAGAAACACTGTTTAAAATAATATTTAAAAGATAGTACTATCAATAGCTATGGAAAACTGTCCTTACTTTGCACATCGCACCCAATTCATATGTGCATTGAGGGAATATTGAAACTTTTGTCTGTGGACTGTCCAAATCTGTTAATACAACCACAAAACATTTAACATTAATAAAGGTGTGATGTGATGTTGACATATAATATGTAGATTTTGTGAAATACAGTATGATTTGAAATATGCAAAATATGAAACAATACATAAAGATTATGTTTCTTCCAACATGAACTTTATCATACCTTGAGTGACTTATCATCTGATGCCGTCAATAATGATTGTCCATCACTTGAGAAATCTACACTACGTACAGTTGCTGTGTGAGCTTTGAACACAGTACTCTCTCCCTTTCTACACAATGCAAAAAGAACAAGATTAAACTCATGAGGCAAGAAAATGCTTTATTTATAGTAATGTTTTTTGGACTATAGTTGCTGTGTGAGCCTTGAACACAGTGCTCTCTCCCTTTCTACACAATGCAAATAGAACAAGATTGAACTCATGAGGCAAGAAAATGCTTCATATAGTAATGTTTTTTGGCATAGTTGCTGTGTGAGCCTTGAACACAGCTAGTGCTCTCTCCCTTTCTACACAATGCAAATAGAACAAGATTGAACTCATGAAGCAAAAAAAAGCTTTATATATAGTAATGTTTTTTTTGGCCTATAGTTGCTGTGCGAGAGCCTTGAATACAGTGCTTTCTCCCTTTCTACACAATGCAAAAAGAACAAGATTAAACTCATGAGGCAAAAAAATGCTTTATATATAGTAATGTTTTTTTTGGCCTATAGTTGCTGTGCGAGAGCCTTGAATATAGTGCTTTCTCCCTTTCTACACAATGCAAAAAGAACAAGATTAAACTCATGAGGCAAAAAAATGCTTTATATATAGTAATGTTTTTTTTGGACTATAGTTGCTGTGTGAAAGCCTTGAATACAGTGCTCTCTCGACCCTTTCTACACAATGCAAATAGAACAAGATGGAACTCATGAGGCAAGAGAATGCTTCATATAGTAATGTTTTTTGGCCTATAGTTGCTGTGTGAGAACCTTGAATACAGTGCTCTCTCGACCCTTTCTACACAATGCAAATAGAACAAGATTGAACCCATGAGGCAAGCTGGCTTCATATAGTAACTTTTTTGTCCTATTTTTATACTTACACACTTGGTACCCATAGTCTGACAGTCTTGTCTCTCGATGCTGAAGCAATCAAGTGACCAGATGGAGAGAACTTCACTGATAAAACAGCATCCTAAGTTACAATCAAGGATGTTTTTTAGCAATTTTCATAAACATGCGAACTCTGTGTCTGCGAGCTGCATGCTGAAATTTGTTTTTTTTGCTGCCGCCAGTCAAAAATATGAAAGGTACTGACTGAGAAAAAGGTCAAAGCTGTTGTGTCAGGATTTTAAAGGCCGATTAAGACGGTAAGATTTTCGCCTACAACTATCGTATACAACATGCTTGAGTCTGTCGTAGGCGAGTTGTAGGCTTGATTTACACGCTACGACTAGAGTTTTAGGATGGCGCGAGCGTGTTGTATATGTTAGTTGTAGCCGAAAATCGTACCGTTTAAACCAGCCTTAAAAAATACAAAAGCTAAGCTACAATTGCATCTTTGTGTATTTACCTTATGACCAACAAATCTGTATGCTCTCATATGATGCTTGAAGTGCCAGATCATCAGACTTGAATCCATCGACCCTGTCACTATTCATTTGATTGAATCATAAAACAGTCACAAAAAACTGGTCAACGAAACTTTTTAGCTTTGACACAATGTTCTCTCATATAATATCAGACCACATGTCTGATTCCCTTAGTCATCATTTCTTTGTTTAACAGTTGTACACGAGAAGACATGAATATGGGTGCAACTCAAACAGAGAATCTGGGAAAACACCAGGAAAACAGGGTTTTCATGGAATAAAATTAATTTAGTAAATAAACTAGAAGAGACGAGCTATACAGTAGAATACCCCAACCACTTTCTACTACAGTTATCATAACTATTTGTAGAAGAAGTTATTACACTGGATGTTATTAAGATAGATGGTGGGGTATTCTATTATCTAGCCTAGGTAACTATTTGT